TAGAGCGATAGAGGAAAGAGAAAGGGAAGAGCAAAGACGAGCGCTTAAAAAGGATAGGCAGGGTCAGACCCTCAGATGTGCGAGGATTCTCCAACGATAGACGTGTACGTGTGCTGATCTTTGTAATTATAAATTGTGAATACATGTGACTAATATTATTTTCTTTTTTATTTTGTGCATGTTTCAAGTTATAAATAAATATAAACAAACAACACTAACTCGATAACATTAAATCTAAGTAACAAAATAATTAATTTACTGTATTTTTGTTATTTATTACTCCTGTTTTTAGGTATTCGGCCGAATAGTGATTAAATATTCGGTATTCGGCCGAATAGTAACCGAATATTCATTACATCACTAATTTAAACCTATTACTATAATGATTCATTTAGACATTCTTATGGCTATCTATTGGGACATTCCAATTTTCAACACTGACTCAGCACTGATCTCAACATTCGTTAAAATTCGTTCCTTTTTTCAACGTTGAGGTAGCGCTGTTGTCAGCGCTGACTCAACACACTCAGCACTCAACAGATATGTTGACTGCTACTTTCCAATGAATTGTAGGTAATTGGTAAGACATTTGAATGAAATCCATCTTGCTGAGAATGGAATTATGGGAACTAAGCACTTCATACTCAAGTTTTGGAACATCGTTGATGACGTCAAATTGTTGACTTCAACACTCGCGTTGAAAATTGGAATGTCCCAATACAGTCGACCCCCCTATAACACTGTTGATTATTCCGTTTTATATGAATTCCATGTTGTACGAGTCACTTAGATTTTACAAATACGTGAGCTGTTCACAGCTGGCACACTTATTTGTAAAATCTAAGTAACTCGTACAACATGGAATTCATATAAAATGGAATAATCAACAGCGTTATAGGGGGGGTCGAGTGTATATTGAGCTTTGAAACAAAACAAATTTGTTTCAAGTAATCATAAACAGTTCAATTTGACAAATTTAATCGCTTAGTGATTTCATATGTTGTTATTCTGCAGTTTGCTTCAATCAGTACCTTTATTTTGTTTTCATTGGCTTCAACTGGCCGTCCAGAACATGGTGCATCTTCAATATTGAAATTGCCAGAACAAAATTTTGTAAACCAGTTTTGGCACTGTCATTCTGTCAATACATCTTCTCCATACACGTTACACAATTTTTTCTCACTTAAACAGCATTCTTACCTTTTTGGTAATAAAACAGCAAAATATGCTGAAAATGCTGCTTTCGATCTTCCATATTTGATGGGACACAAAAATAAACAATTGCACAAATTCAAGCAAAATTTTTTACAAATAAGCCTTAAAATGCTAGCTGTCAAAAATATATAATGATAATATGGTTTAGAATGAAAATGGCGGGAAAAATACAACTAATCCGTCTAGTGGTTAAAAAAAAGGAAATTACTTTCTGAACAACCCAATATAAGAAATCCAAACTCTCAGAAGCGGTTATCTGTGCAATTAATTAGCGCTTAAATTACTTCAAAACTTTTATAAAATTAAAGTTAATATTCTAGAATTATATAGAATTTTAAGTTATAAACATAACTAAATGTCAAAATTAATATAAAAATACTTACAACAAATCCAAATCCATTTTTCATCAGTATCTCTCTAATGCGACCATAGCCTTTAAAAAATTTTTCCAAATCTCTCTCACGTACATCATAACTAAGGCGACCAACATACACTCTTGTTCCCATTTTTAAATCTGCAATATTAAAAAATGTCAAGATCAAATTTTATAGGTAAACTGAATTTAAATAAAATTAGATTCTAATTGGTGTGTTAATGACTAGGGCATCAGTATTGTGAGATCCAGCCTGGGGTACAGGGTAGGTTGTTACGCCTGTATCACTTACTAGGCAGCTAGTCGGTAAGACTAGTTCTCTGTCGTCTACAAGAACGGCCTTTCCCAAACATAGGGGAACGAGTGTGGAGGGCTTTACTGTTAAATTATAATTTAGAGCGGAAGTTGGTGATGGCGAATTCACCTTCTTCCTTACGTCAGGTTCCCGACACCAGTTTGTCAATTAAATTCCGCGGACTAACGCGTGTGAGATCTGATTCAGACACAAGTTAAGAGTCATTTCATTGGATAAACAAACAACAATAAATTTAGTAAGACATAAGAAAATAAAAACTAATACAAAATATCAAACAAAGGAATGATATAACTGCTACAATTAAGACATACAACGAGAGATATACGACCCTATTATAACCGATGCGCGATCGAGAGAGAGATTACAATATCGTTTTAAAACATACAACCTGGTTTAGTTGTCGTTCGTCTTCTTCTCTGTAGGCAAGGGACACTTTGGAGATAAAGTTCATTTACTTCTTTCCATGGGAGATCGATATGTGCACAAAATCAAAGTATAACTTCTAAGTGCTAACTCTGGAATTATTCTATGTGATTCGTCTAAGGGCGTTGGTCATCGGGAGGAAAATGTGTGGAGTCCGGATGCTTCCAGGTCTGTCGATGAACTCCCCGAATTCTGATAAATTTCCCCTATATCTCATGATTTACGACCAATCATCTGCCAGAAACTCTTTCATGTGAACGGATGAAAGGGGAATCAAAGAGGGGTAGATAGTTCCCATCTGAGCGAGATTTTTAGTGGATAAGGGAAAAACAGAGGATGTACGAACTTCCCTCAAAGGAAGTAACATCTGTTATCTGCCTTTTCCCACGTTAAAACATTATTTTTCTCACATTTTACTCTCAGATAGTGTATTTTTTAGCTTCAAACAGGCTCTTTCTAGAGAGTGAAAAATTCAAATAAAACTTGTTTTGATTGTACAGTAGAACCTCGAAAACTCGGCTCTCGATAACCCGGCCACACCCTGGCAGGGCAAAAAAATCCTTAGTTAATTAATTTTCATTATAGACAGCTTTATAAAAGTATAAAAGCTCTCATAAAGTATTTTTCTGAGGTCTGTCTTATCAGGTAAATTACTGTACACAGTGTATTCATTAATTTTCATTTTCATGTAGTAAAGGCTCTATGCCTTCATAAAGTACGTACTTTTCCTTTGTTTAAGGGTATTTGGGCAGTTTATTCTGTTGTATTCTCCAGCAAACAATACATACAAGTACAGTACACTATTTTCTGAGGAAACACGCATACTTATCCTTTTTTAACCCCATTCCCGATAACTCGGCATTTTCACAAACTCGGCCAGCCTTCAGTCCACATTAGGCCGAGTTTTCGAGGTTCTACTGTATCACAAAATAAAATGTAAGGAACCAAGTCCGAGTGTTATTTTTAGTTACTTTTATTTTTGCTTTTATTCTATTTTTGTTTAAGACTTATGTTTTGTTAGGACGAAGGTTTCCTCACCATTCACCTTAGAAACTTAAAAATAGAAGAGAAACCAACTCACCGATGAAAGAAAAGTGCCATAGAACAAATTCGCGCACACGTGCACTCCAGAGCAGAAAAAAGTAAGTCCGCACCGAGAAAAATGGGAGAGACCCCACAAGCACAACTTAGGAACTCGCTAAACCTTAAAGAATAAAAACATCCCAAAAATTGTCAAAAAGAATAATGTAAAAGGCTAGCGAGTATTGTCAGAAAATAGACTGCCAGACAAAGTTTTTATTGTTAGCAAATAAGTATGTAAATGAGGGGAGTGATCTCACTCAGAATTGTGACGTCACCTCACAGGATAAAGACCGAACCTCAAGTGAAGATGACCGAGGTGAGCTTCTGTTAGCAATGAGCGTGGTGAGCTTAGTAGCAGCAAACGAGAGAGGGGTGTCTGATACGATAAAGTAGTTCCAAGTAGATTTTGAAGTTATTCGATTTGTGGATCAAAGATTAGAGAAAGTCTTGAGAGTTGTGGAAAAAGGTTCCTAGTATATTGAGGTGATGATTAGGATCTTTAATTCATAAGAATTATTGTATATCTATTTAACTCTTTCCAACCTGTTACTGGTGCGTCTACTAACTCTTAATGATCCAAAACGTTAGTTTTGGTTGGTTCATCACTGAAGGATACATGCTCTCATCTCTTGCGTGGATGCGTTATTAGATTTCTTGTACATAAAGAACTCCCAGTTGCTTCTTTACACCCACGAGCTATAAGAACTGGCTAACCTAGTATGCTATGAGTCGTGCTTCACCTTTTGTGGTCAGGTCTACAGACAAAAAAGAGGGGTTCCGATGGGAAGTCCCCTCTCAGGAATCCTTTGTGCATTAGTTGTTAGAAGACTAGAAAGAAGGGTTCTTCATAGTTTCAAAGAAGATATCATATATTTCAGCAGGTATGTGGATGGCATCCTTATCTTATGGAGAAATAATAGTAGGGTGCATAAATTTATGAGTAGAATCAATGATAACAATAATGGACTTAAATTGAGATTAGAACAAAAGAGTTCCTTGAATGTGCACTTCTTGGACATTAATATCCGGTTTACGAAAGGTCATTTGTCCACAAGCATTTATATTAAACCTACACACACCCCATTGTATATACCCTCCCAGTCCTTGGATCCATATCGGTATAAGGTGGCAGCCTTCTGAGCGTTAATAAGGAGAGCTTATTTATATTGTGACCGAGTTGGTGACAGGGCAAAGGAGAGTGATAGAGTATTGCAGATGGCCCGGATCCTGGGTTACAAAAAAAGTGTAATTGTAGGAATGGTTAAGAAGTATGAAAGGGGCATAGTAAAAAAAATCTTAAGTAATGTTCCTACTAGGCTCACGAAATTTACTTATAATAGTAGTATGAATAGTGTTATGAAAGAAATTGCTAGTCAAAAGGAATCAAGAATGGTTTTAAGAAGAGCCCCTAATTTGTATAATCTTGAGAAATGATGAGGATAGTATCAAAGTGGAAGAGAAAGCAGGGGTGTATAAGATTCCTTATGAGAACTTACAACTGGATGTTAAAAAAGATTATATCGGCATCACCACAAGAAACTTGGGAGTAAGGCTCAAAGAACATAGATATGCCATAAGAAATGCGTCTAATTCAACGATTTTGTCCCAAATGGCGCAAGCCCAAGGCTTTGAGGTAAAATGGGACGAGGCAACAATCATCAAACCTCTGTCTTCCCCAACTTTAGCAATGACGGCGGAGAAGATTGAAATATACAGAAGTAGGATAGGAGAAGGCTGTTTAAATGCGAGGGATGCCGAGATCCTGCCTTCGGCATGGGAAGTACTTGGTTAAGAATTTACTTGAAACTTGGACCAGAATTAATACATTGAAGATTTATGTTATTTTTGTTTTATTTTAATTTTTATGTATTCTTCCATTATTTTTCTCTTGTAAAAAAATTTTTGATTTAAAATTTTTATGTTCTATTCATGGAACATTTACATTCCATTTTTGTTTGACCTGAAGATGGCCTATTAATTGGGCTGAAAACATTTGTTTTTTACAATTATATTTATTTCTTGGCAAAAAAAGGTGTTTTGTTTCTCTTTATTTAATTTCTGAGCACTTTTGATATTATCAAAATAAATATATTGAAAAATATAAAAACAAATAAAAATTATACTTTAGAAGTTAATCTAGTATCAAAAATGTTCGATTCAGCATGACACACAGTACTCAGTGATGGCAATTCTATCAACTTGACAAAACTACTTTAGTGTAACTTGCTGACCAGACTTTGCCTCAATATGGCATATGTTTCTTTCAAGCTTGGTTTAGTTAATGCCAAACAATACAGTGTTTCCCAACGTGGGGCAATTCAAAAATGGACTTGCCCAGAGTTTAAGTTAACCGTATAACTCCTGTATATGTTAGGGGACATAAGAATTTTAGAAAGACTTAGGTGGAGCATAGCAGAAGGTTGGAAACAATGCCATAATGAATTGAGCTATTTTTCAGCTACATTAACATTAAAGTACCGAGGCTGGTCAATTGACCAGCATGATGGTTTTGAATTATCAACTTTTCAATACTATTTTATTTTTTATTCAAATTTCAAAAATTTACATAACTTTTCATGCTCTTTCACATGAATATACACTTCTTTGAAATAATTCCACATTTTACAAACATTTTATTCTCACCCCATGTTTATACCACAAGCTGATCATTGATCTGCATGGGAAATCATGCAAATCTGCATTGCATTTATCATGTCACAGTTCCTGATTGGGTAATTTGAATGCAACTGTGAACAAAAGTGATAATTAATCACTCTTGTTCATAATTCCTCAACAGAAAGCCTTGTTCACCTGACAATGTTAGTGTAAAAATTGTTTCAAAGGCCAGAAGAAAAAAATGATTCCTGATGAAATAATTTCCCATCTTCAGCAAATTGATGAAAATGAGTCACACGATAAAAGTGATGATGATTCTCAGTTGTAGGATTTAGAGTTTCAGGTGCTTTCTCATCAGAAAGCCAAACAGCCAAAATCAGAAAGAATATTCAGAACTACACATAAGCAATGAAAAATATGAAGAAATTTCAGCACCATTCATCAGAAAATTATAGAAATCATGATGGAACTCTAGACACATGCATCAAGTACACCAGATTCATGGAAAAGACCATCTCATAATATACTCAGACTTCAGTCTGATCCAACTGGGTATACTGGAAAAAATGTAGGCAGGAGCACAATCTCTTATTTCAAACTTTTGGCAGATGAGAAAATTATTCGCACAAGAAAAAAACCATACAGAGGCAGAAACTCATCAAATGAATAGACCAATGTCGTCCACCAGCTTTGAAGAAATAGA